TCCTGGCCATCAAATGATATAATTCAAAACCGTCGAAATTCAATTGACTTCGAATTTCAATTGAGCCTCAAACTCGGTTGTCTGAAAGTTTGTCCTTGAAAGGTAACGAAGCAGTTTAAGTAAAATATAAATGCAATGTATAAAGCACCGATAGGTATCCTATAAGCAAAAAAAGTTCATGATTTCGAGCAAGCAAATACAGGAAAGCATGATCGATTAGTTTTAATTATTTTAGTTGCATTAGCTTTGTAGGAAGTGACTATCAGTAAGTTTTCCACATTGATAAGCCAGAGATAAAGCAAGGATTAGCAGTAGCTAGTTCAGGCTACCTGATAATAATTTGGCCAAAGATACACCCAAGTTTAAAATTGTTCCACTATCCACATGTTGCCATACCTACTGCTTTGATGTAGATCCTTAAGCTTCAATTGAGTGTCCAAGGCAAAAGTCTTGACCTAAAGAATCAAACAGAAAGAAATTATTAAGAAGCTATGTAGAATTCAAGGAAGTAAAACCTGAATTGGATGATATCTATCTTGGGGAAAAAACAAAGAGATTAAAAGAAATACTCTCCTTGTTCTTCCTCTTGAACTCCTGGACGAAATGGTTTACCAATCTGTTGTCAAAATCCTCACCACCAAGGTGAGTGTCTCCAATAGTTGCCTTCACTTCAAAGACACCCTCTTCAGGTGCTAGCAGGGAAACATCTAACCTGGAAAAAAATCAAAGAAAATTAAGAGATTAATCCAGGACTTGATTGATCTATTCCCACTAAACACAAAATGAGAACTAAAGAAAGGGGAACGGAACAGTTATGGCCAACCAACAAATGAAAAACAACAGAAATAAAATTGGGAGATATACAGAGAGGCCGACTTGTAAATGATTGCAAGTAAGATCTTGTCATATGTGGAGGCTTTTGCCGCCGATGCCATTGTTCTCAATATGTCAGAAGAGATACAGGGGCAAGAACAATAAGAATGAGAGATATCTGGAGAAATTAAACTGAAAAGATATAGGGATAGAGAGAAAGCGAACCTCCTATTTCTATTCCATCCGAAACTGAGCCTCCGTTCGGTCCCTTGTATCCGTCACAACTCATAACCTCGAGGCAAATCAAACCCAAAATAGTCCCAAACGACTTCTCATACCCTCTGCTGTCAGCCGACACTGGTGATCAAATCAGACATTGCTTCTCTTGTCCTTGCTTATAAGCCTCCCCTGTCCAAGACCAAAAGAAATCATGAAATTGCTAATTAAAATAAAGGATCAGAAAAAAGGAAAAGTAAGAGTTTCATCATACTCACATTAGCGATGATAAGAACAAAGCTACATTCTATCATTTAACTCGGTTCCACGGCAGTAAGGGCAAAAAAATAATTGTGAGCAACATCAAACACGTCTTTCATTTGATCCAGCAGCAGCTACTTCACACCAATTGGACTGAGCGAGCAACCCAAGTGAAATCATAATAGCTTTTCTCCCCACATGATCCTGTCATTGAGCCAACTGCGACACCAAATATACAACTCTCACTTAATCAAGAACTTCACCAGCAATAATCAATTAAGCAAAGTACAATTAGGCAATTCAGTGACCTCTTGGTGTAGAATTGAGAGAGTCGTGAAGAGAATGAGATGTAATTGATCTGGTACATGTCTTATTAACTCGACTCCAATATTTCCCCTAAAAATGGATCAGGCAGACCCTTTTGCTTAGGAAAAAATGAATACATGAAAGACGTATGTAAAAGCAAACTCACCAGAGAGTCATAGAAGACCGTCGTTGTACAGGCCCTCAAATTTGCTAAAGTCTCCGGCGAAGAACGTTTAGTCCATGGCAAAGACCAGGGGCTTATTCTCTTCACGCAAGGCAAAGGGACAAAAGAATCGGAACGCAAACCTTTCCTCGACCCCTAGAATCTGTCGACGGGGTTCATCTCCCTCCCCATGAGATCGGAGAAGACGAAGATGAGAGGGTATTAAGGTCGAGCTCGGAGAACTGGACCGAGAATGGTGTGGTGATGAACACGAAAATAGAATGGGGCGCAGAACTGAGCTGGGAGAGGGCAACGAAGAAACCAATCAGCCCTCAAGGGTCGCGATGGCCCTAATCGAGCTGAGCAGGCAAGTACAGTACGATTCATGGGCAATAGCGTGTCTGGAAGAGGGTTCGGTAGCGGTGACGTGTGGCAGCAAAATCTACAACCTGGAAACACGGAAAAGGTAAGGGAAGCGTTGAAAGGGAAGGAAGAGAAAAGAGGGGGCAATCCAAGTCCTGCAAGTACGGATGGGAGGAATGGTCGTCTGCTAGGCTGAGGGAAGGGAAGGTCCTAGCGGCGCTGGGAAGGATTGGTTGAGAAAGCTGTATGGCGAAGTGACGGGAGGACAATAAAACACTATTCCTTGCAGTTTTTACGGAAATGGCGATATGGAGCATGCATACGGAAGGCATGGCTGCTGATTTAACCGGGCAGCGGTGGAATTGGCTTCTGACCCGACGCAAGCGGAGCATCCCCGGCCGCCGCAACCAGCTGCCCTGCGGAGAACAAAAGAAGCCCTTTTCGCTAAATGACAAAGAGTGAAACAGTAGTAGTAAGTTGAGGGTAATAAAGCGTACCCACCTTTTATCTTTTAAAGAATTAATATTGAGACTATCTTCGCTGATTTTTTTTTATTGAAATTTGAATCTGAGTATTTTTTAGATTGACTGTTGGCCTCGATGTTTTAAGTGTAGTCAAACGTTGTTGATTTTTGTGGTATGTTTGGAGGGGTAGCGGTGACAAAGAATGATTGAATATAGGAGTTTAGTGATGACAATTTTTTTGCCTGATTCGCACAATCCGTCATGTTCCTACTTGTTTGGGGAAAGTATTATCCGATCTATAGTAGTGTGTGAAATGGGTATGAGTATTGTTTTCGATCAGTTCTCGACTCGTTATTTCATGATTTGTATTAATATCTATATGTATTTATTTTTTTTTCAACATTTTTTTAACCATATTTTCATCTGAAAGAAATTTTAAAATTCATCTTTCAACTATTTAGACTCGATTATTTATTCTCATGTATTTCTGATTCATTTGTGAAGTGTATATTCTATGTGTTCTTGTAAAATAGTTAAATATCGATGTTATTTTTTCAAATAACATATAAAAAATTGTTCTACCTCGCGCGTGCATTACCCGATTTGACCCGCACTTAGTAGTGGGCGAGTATGAGTAGTGTAGTTGACGCCCTCGCTTCGCCTCGCCCAATTGCGCCATCACTCAGAGATTGACAATTCTAATTTGTGGTCATGTCGTTCGGCTGTACTGGGTTCAACCGGCGCCGGTCACAAAACTGGCTTCAATGCTTCCTCATATGACTGGCGTGATCGATATTTTACTTCTAAACAAAACTACGCCGTTTTTTAGAATTTAGTTAACAAAAAAAATTATTTATTTATTTAATTTGGTAGTTAAATGTTGATGTTATTTGTTAGATTTAAGTATGAAATATGAATGTTTAGATGTTTATGTTATTTGTTGTATTCAAATCTCAAGTATAAATGTTTCGAAGTTGGCGTTAAATGTTATATTTAAATATAATACTTTTCATTTTGTTTGGAAGTTTTCTAAAACGGTGTGAACTGATTTAAACTACGACAATGCCACTTGTCAAACCGGCATATAACGATATCAACCGATTTGATAACCCTGCCGGTTATCATGGTTTGATCCGTTTCCGGTTTGAGACCGGACAGCTGCACTCCCCTACCGCCCAAACCAAACCCAATTCCAACAACGACTCCCACTCTTCCTCCCACTTCACCACTCCTCGCAGCCGCCGCTTAATTTCGTTGCCGCCGTTCGCCATCATCACCTTCTCGAGCTGCTGGTCGCCGCAGCAAGCTTCCCCGCTTGAAGTGGCAGTCCCCCATTCTTCTCCCGTCGACCAGTCCATCTTCGATCTTCTTTGCTACAAGCAGTTGTCTTCTTTCTTCCCCCCATTTATAAATTATACTACTTTTTGATGATTCCCACTTGGGCTTCGGTTTTGTCGAACAGTTTTCAAATTTTGAAACTCCCTTTCCGACTACTTGTGCAAAGAATAGCTAGTTTCTGACTTAGTCTTCCGCGGGTAGTGCCCTTGATTGCGTCGTAGTGTCACTCTTTTCTCCACGCCCCATTTCTGCTTCCCCTTCTCTCTCTTTCAGCAACACCAGCCCTCCTCCCAGGTTTGATTGCCGAATGGGTCTTTGTTGAGTGGGCAAGAAGAGGATAAAAGAGAGATGTTGAGTAGCCGTGAGATTCTCAACTTCTTAGTAAGGAAGAAGGACGCGAGGAAGATACTCAAGCGCAAGGACAGTGACGCTGGGGAACGAGGTATGGTATCTCTACTCCATCCAAGTTTTCCCTTTTTGGTTTCCTATTAACAGACGGCTATTGGGTCGCTGGTTTGGATGCGAAGAGTGATTGTGCATTTTGATTCTTAGAGCTGATGTGATTATGGCAATTGGCAAGTAGATCCCTTTAAGTGATCTGGCCAAGGTGGTGAAGCTGCCTGACGATGGGCTTGATGAGAACACCTCTATCTAGATGACTGAGAATTTTGCCGGCAGTTAGCTAAGATGTTTCTAGCTTCTACCCTCGGTCTTAGTTCTCGAATTCGGCCTAAAGCTGGAGTCTTTGACAGAACATTTTTGGTTTTCGCTAGCTGCTAATGCCGAATAGCGGTCTGGCTATGTAAACTTGTGAACAAAGAGACTGTTATTTCTTTCATAATGTGAGTAACACACTAACTAAGAAGGCCCTCTCTCATGGCTGTCATGCCTGCTGATCAGGAAGGGCTCTGGAGACGTCTAGAAGACCCGGCGCCGGACGTGAGTTGCTTGCTCTGGGATTACTTAGGATTGGGCTTCTAGGAATAAGTTTCTGAGGTGCACAACTAAACCTACTTTCCAGATCTCTTTGATATTAAACCAGCTTGGTCTCTTACGTGCTTTTATGTTGTGGGCTACAGGGGCTCATTCCTGAAGGGAAGCTGGACACTTACAACACACCATATTACGAGGCGTTTTCTGAAGACGTGAGAGCTGAGATCGAGAGAGAAGGGTCGTTTGCTGTGGATCGCCTGGAGATTATCGTGATCCCATGGGATGGGTGTAATGGAGGAGTAACGCAGTATGACAGGGCGACCACAGCCAGGAATATGGGGAAGGCAATAAGAGCGGTGAACGAGGCAATGATTCGGAGCCATTTCGGTGGAGGAGATGTGGAGTTTGTGGATCGTTTGTTTCAGAAGTTTGGTAGAATCATGGTGGATGACTCGAAGGAAGTTGAGCATGTCAGTATTGTTGTCTCTGTCATCAAGAAGCAATCAACCGTTTGAGCATGTCCGTCAGTACAATCGATGGCGGTGCCTGTGTGTGATCTGCTTAGTAATATCACTAAGCCATGGGTTTTAGTGACTAAACCCCACTCCCCTTGTTCACTTGTACTCATTTCAGTTTTTAAGTGTACTAGAATCAATACCCACGACTACGTCGTGGGAAATATATCGACATTTATGGCTACATCACGTGAAATGTTTCGACAATGACATGTTTAGTCATTTTAACATGTTTAGTATCTTTTGAAAATAATATATTGCTTATGAGAAAATAAACCCACATCTCCCCATGAAAAAAAGAACCATTGAGCTCAGCGAAGTGAGGAGAAATCATCATGGATTCAACTACAGACTATTGCAGACTCCATATATTATATATACTTCACATTCGGAATAAATTTTCTTCAACAGCATTCCGTACCATGAGTCAGCGAAAGCAACCTGCACAAAGACAACAAACATATTGCCAAGTAAAAACATACAACCATAACACATAATACCGAGAAAATATGAACATTAATGTCGTGTCTAAACCATAACTCGTAACTGGAAAAATGAGAACATAGTGTTCAGAACAAAGTAACAAACACCTGCATGTTTTGTAGAAACAACGCTTGCTAGCAGCGCTCTTGGTGGCCTGACCCTGAATCTGGAATTCATCCTTGAAATTCTTTGCTATTCCATCATCCAGTTCTCCACCTTGACTTCCACGAAAGGATAAACCAATCTAAAGCCACATATGAACTAAAAGATCAAATCAGATTGCAGAATGTTAATAATGTTTATACAGTTATACTGATTACTGACCAGAACCATAATATGTATAATGAAGACCAAAGCTTACCAAATTTGTATTTTCCAATAAAAGGAGCATTCTCAGCAAAAAAGCTTGTTTTCCAAGTTCAACTCCTATGGCTATTGGCCAAAGGTTCTACAGAGGTAAACAACCAGCAGTAAAAGATCAACACAGCAGCACCATGTTGCAGAATGCAGCCAATGGACCTTCCTTTCATTCCTTCAAATACATCAGTGGCCTTCATTAACGGCGTTTAAGTTGTTTCTATCCCTGATGTGGTTCTTCTTGACCATGCTCGGACTCTAAACCCCTCCCTTCCCTCTACCTCTGTGGATGACACTAACTTTGTCGCACTAATCTAGCAAAGAGGGTTCATCCCAAAATTGACTAACTTGATTCATTGTAGTTACCCAAAAGCACAAACATTGAGCAACCTATCACACTAACCTAGCAAGCTGGCCAAACATGTATTAACAGATCCAAATGGTCCCTGTCCAATAACTGTAGTAAAGTGACTTGTCGCTTCCTGGAGATCCGTGCATTGCTGTGAAGTAATGATTTTGAAGAAACCACATGCAAAGAGCTACATAAAAGACATAACAGCCATAGGTGAAGACAGTTGGGAATACACCAGCACATTTCAGTCACTACACTTGGATCCCATATGACACCAACATTTATTCACCACTACCAACATAAGCTAATTTCAAACAGAATCATTAAAGAGGAAGGAAACCTATACCGATCATGCAAAGGGCAAAGAAGAGTAGGGTAAGCTTCTAAGTTTGAGCCATACTCCAGCACATTTGTCATGACCTGAGCTGCTTGTGTATGAGTACGCCTGCACAAAAATCTTGAGGGTTCGTTAGGAGAAAGCTGATAGGCAAAATGAACAACTTTCCAGGAGAAAGAGAGAACATATTTAGAGTTTGAATCATAACAACGTGGGAATCAAAGGATCAAAACTCAACATGAGGGTTGATGGTTGTAAGTGGAAAAACGCAAAAATTTAAACTAATGAGCAACTGAATGAACTCATCCCAAGTGCCAGCTAATGCTTTGGCCTAACTGTATTGACCCTTGCTGCTCTTTTCTTCTCAGCTTTCTCCAAACACGTAAAATGCAGTGTTAGAGTTGATTTGACCCTCAAAATCATACACCAGCATATCTAACATTCCATAATTCCATCATGGAACTGTAACCGTACAAAGGAGAAGTCGAGAAGAGAATTACAATGGATTAATAACAAATAAGAACAGATGGTAACTGAATCCACCCCTCACATAGTCAAAATCAACATCTTTTGTGGAAATAATACTGCAAACAGTTATTCAAACTATTAAATCCATGCACCATTACCTCTTACTATTTCATTTCAAATTTCTGAAGTCTATTTTCATGAACCCACATGAAAATCAAAAGCCAACTTATTCGATATTCAGATCACGAAACTTACTTAACACGAAGGTTACTTCATCTTGGCTTTTCAAACTCTCAGGTTCCTCTTCACCCTGAAAAACTGCAGCCTCTCCCTTGCCGACTGGGACGTTGTGTGCAACTGGCAAACTACTAACAGAAGGGTGAGATTTGGATGTACTCTAAGCCACTGCCCCAAAAAACCTATAGCAAACAACGCTACATTCGTCATCATCAGCTCAACGGGTGCGTCACCGTCCTGATCGCCATCTGCATTGTTGATGGACTCTATAGTCGAAAGGAGAAAAAAGAAATGAGAAACCACAGAGAGAGAAAGGGGAAACCACAGAGGAAGGAAGAAGAAGAAGAACTAACAGGTCATTCTCCACCCTGCCTCATCCCCCACGCCAACCTTCTTTGACAGCTCTTCTCAAATCTCAACCACTGGAATCAGCACAGGCACGTCCACCGCCTTCTCGACCTTGCCTATATGAAATTTGGCTGGTCACGGGATTAGATAAAAAGAAACAAAATAGAAGAGTAGAAGGAAGAAGAAGTGAAAGGAAGCAAATAACTAACTCGAACAAATCCACTTCTGGCTCCTTCATTCCCATCTTGAACCCCACACTCCGAACCGAAAAATTTACTGCTCTCTTTTCCCTCTGCCTCCCAATCAAATCTTCGCTTCCCCTCTTCCTTCCGTCGAAGCCGACCACATCATTCGGCACTGCAGCAGTTTTTCTGTGCTGTCCCTACGATGCAATGATTCTCCGATATGAAAACCGAGAGTATGAGATGGCAATGCTCTCCCTTCCCTCTTCCGCCCAATTTACTCTCACTTCTCTCCACAAATCAAGATTGGAAAAGTATGTGATGAAAATCAGACCCTACGACAAAAGAGAGATGAGAAGAATAGGGGAAGTCGATGGTGTGGGAATGGAATTCCACTCGGTCGTGGTCGAAAAGGCTGGCGTCAAAGGGGGAAGAGAGAAGCAACGTAATCGAAAGTAATTGCAGACGGTTTGAGAGGGCCGAATAGAGAAGCTTCACTCCTCTAGTAATCGATGGCAGGAAGGTGAGGATTGTACAAATTATGGGTGGTGGCGTGTGTGAGTTGCTACGGAAGGTCTCATCACCGGTGGCGTGTCGTTCCCGACATAGAGCTGAAAAGATTGTGTCCCGCGGCTGTGGATTTTGAGGTAACGCCGACTGGGGATGGCGTACGGAGTAAGGCGTCGCCGTGTGGGGGTGGGTGGTCGAAGCCCTCGAAGCCGTCCTCCAAGAATCGACAAAAAATGAAACAGTATCAAAGAAGTTCAGCCAATAAAGCGTACCCACATTTCATATATAAAAGAATCGCTACTCGGTAGCTGGCCGTCGATGAAAGTCAGCTAGGGTACGTGGCACTTTAGTGACTTCGCTCAAACCGGTTTATATCGTTAGTTCCATGTTCAGCAAAATAGTGTGATCCAATCCAATGGAGATATAATCGATCTATATATAAACACATGAAAAGGGAAAATTATTAAACATTCATTTATATAATCTATTTTGATTTTTGAGACAACCTATAATTTTCATTCATATTAAAATAGAATATTACATTACAAACAAAATTATATATCATTATATTTAAATTAAATACTAACATCAACATAAAATGTACATATTTGAATTTGAAAATTTCTTTAATTTTGTTGGTTGATTTCACCAAAATAATGCCATTTCATTAAAGACTAAAAATTAATCTGTTCCAAAAGATCATTCGTTTTCAACTATTTTTATCGGTTTTGACTATCACTTTATTTTGATGATCTTTGGTAAACTAGTTTGACTACCACTTTATACTCTTTACCACTTTAAATTGTACAGGACCGACTTGTTGGAAATATCAAAACAGACCAGATATGGAATGGTACGAACACATTTTGTAATTTACATACCGATCGGTTATTTAAGTCGGACCGGTGAATCGTAGCATATCGGTCGGTTTCAGTCCAATCGGTCAGAGGGATAATAATAAGAAAAAGACCAAACCAAATTATATTTAGTACCCAATAAATTTATACACATTGTTTATTCAACTCATATTTAATACTAGATAAACTCATACTCGGTGTTTATTCACTCTCATCTTGGTACCCGTTCAACTCGTATTCATCCAAGATACCTTCTTAGGGGTCGTTTGGAAGTTATGATTGTTAGAGTTGTGTTTGTTGAATACATGTATTATGCACAATACAATGTTTGGAAGTGTCAAAAGTGTAAAATAATGCATGCATTGTTTTAGGTAAGTCCCACCAACAATCACAAAAAATGATGCATTATACAATCTCAACTAAAAGTTGTGATTGTTGGTTTTAGATTTGTGTCAACTTTTTCTTTCCATTTATATTCCTAAAGGTTTTTGTCTTATTCTAAAAGTTGAGGGTAAATGTGTCATTTTCCCATAAAAGTAACTTTATTTTAAGGCAAAATACACTTGTATAGGCAAAACTTTCACGTTTGTGTCACTTATAGCCACTTTTGGCGAAATACCACGTATAGCCACTTCCGTCCAATTCTTTAACGGTGTTAGTGTTAAGTCTGACTGGACAAACATAGATGCTGATGTGGTGAGCATTTCTGGCCAGATTTGCTGATGTGACAATTTTATATAAAAAAATATCAAATAAAAATATATTACCTTATAATGAGAAAAACAAAAAATAAATAAAAAACAAAAAAATTGGAAAAATCAACCTCTCCCTCTCTCTTCTCCACCACCGTCCAACTTCCTCCTTCCTCCTCCTTTTCTTCTCCACCTCCGTCCAACTTCCTCCTTCCTCCTCCTTTTCTTTTCCACGACCATCCCACTTCCTCCTTTCTCCTTCTTTTCTTATCTGATTCTTCTTGTCTACCTCTATATCATCCTTCCTATCATTCTCACCTCCATCAAAACACTAAAATTAGAAAGAAAACCCAAACCCAAAATCAACTGAAAACACCAAAAGGGAACACCCACACGACCACAGATCCGCTGGGGCGCCATCATACCGCTTCCTCCGCTGGACCTCCACCGCTCCTCTGCTGCTCCAACATCGAACGAAGTAGACGTGTCAACTCAACGACGACTCAGCAATCCAAGCCGCACGACGAAGAACCGCCGAGCAATTGGGTCAGAATTCGAATTCGGATTCTGACAACGAGAAGAGATGGATGGCGAAGGAATCAGTGTATTCCACATCGTGACCCAGATCGATTCTATTTCAACCAAATCACATTCCCTTTCTACAAATACCTTCACCAAATAGTTTCCCAATTCACTAATTCACCTCTCTGCTTCTTCAAATTAGCTCACCGGCTCAAATTTTTCTAGATCTGTCCAGGGAATCACCAAGCGGCTTATCTGCAATTGATAAATGGCGATGGGGATAGCGATGGGAGGAGAGGACAGATAGATAGAAAAGAAATAGGGTGGCGGCGGTGGATTGCTAGGGTAGAAGAAGAGGTCTGGAAGTAGATAAATTAGGGATATGGAAACAATAATGGGGAGAACGTGTTTTCTCTTTATTTTTTTATTGATATTTATTTTTTATTTAATATTAATTAACATAAAACAAATTACACATAAACGTAGTAATTAAATATAAAATAATTAAAATATCTGACATGTCATTGTTTCCTTATTTGGCGCTGACGTGTCCGCTGATTTGGCGCCTAGTCACCAAACCATCAAAGAAGTTGACGGTGTTAATAACACCGTTAAAGTATCTAACGGAAATGGCTATATTTGGCACACAACATCTTTAAAAAGTGGCTATAAGTGGTATTTCGCCAAATGTGGCTATAAGTGGCACAAACGTGAAAGTTTTGGCTACACAAGTGTATTTTGCCTTATTTTAATCAATGCATAAAGTAGAATCTCAACAACTAGACAATGTATTGTTAAAATGCATCCATTGTATCAATACATGCATTTATATTATGGTGATTCATTACAATGCAACGATTTAACATTCGCAACTTCCAAACGATCCCTTAGTTTCTTCCTTTCGAGCCAAGTTCTCTATTGCAAGCCTACACTACACCTTTCCTTCCATATCAGCGCAGCACACCAATACCATAGGCTCCGCTAAACTTTGCCTTCAGCATTACTATGCTTAACACATTGACAAATCCAAACTAACATCGTAGTCCAGATCCACATCATTGGCCTGTGCACATGTGAATTATGTTGTCAAAAACAACAGGAGAAAATGGACAACTGCAGAACAAGACTCTTCCCTCCTTTATCACATAGAACACAATTGCTAGAATCAACACATCCCCATTCAATTAGTTTGTGTTGGTCGCTATATGATTAAGTATAACAAGCCATGTCAAAACTCTGTATCGTGGTACTGCAAACTCTCCTTGTACCTTCCTACATCAATCAACCTTACCTCGAGGTCTAACAGGCTTCCAAATCATCTCGACATAGAACTTTAGTAGAGAAGTCCTTTCTCAAGTCACCTTTAGTTTGTATTGAAACCAAGACCTCATGATAACACTCAAATTGGTGTAATTTGGAACCCACCTTTAGGGTAATTTGGAACCCATATTTAGGTTTGTATGGAGTCATTTTATGTTCGTCATTGCTAATATATCGTCGAATATGCCTTTGATTCATTCCTATGAGAACATATCGATATTCTAGGGTGTATTAGACGATATGAATGAATTAGGTACTAAAAGTGTGCACACGTGTAGAATTATGGGCGAAAACTGAGAGATGATGGTCAAAGGAAAGAAGATCATGGTCATGGAGAGAGGGCGTGAACTAGAGCTACAAGATCACGACCTCTGCATCGAAGATCATGGCCACGAACATGGAGGCTTCAGGCGCGAACTCTTGGAGCAGCTAACAAATAAGAAACATAAAGTTTTGATAGTCAACTTGCGACTTTTTGCATCAGAGCCCATGAGAAAGATCTTGGTCGTGACTCACGGATCACGATCGTGAAGTCAGGCCGCGAACTCCTCGGCCATCGAAGCGCAAAACGGCAAGCCGAAGATCACAACCTCAACCCCCAAGTTCACGCCTGCGAACTTTGCCCCTTCGCTCGTGAACTTGCCTGAATCCTTGAAATCTATAAATGGGGGGTTCCTCCCTCTCACTAAGGGAGCTGAAATAAATTGTGAAATTTTTGGTTTGACAGAGAGAAAGTAGAGAGAGATGTCGAAGGAAGGAGAAGAATGAGGAGTCAATGAGGAAGGGAGCTCTCCCCAATTCAAGTCTTCTTCCCGTTTCTCTACATGTATCTTCTTCCCTCCTTTATGGAGTAGTCCTCTAGGGGTTAAACCCCCCAAATCCTCGATTTATGTTTTGAATGTAGATGTAAATGTGTTAAGGTTTGTGAATGAATCTGGTTGTTTCAGTGATTTATGCTTCATTTATGTTGAGGCTTGTGTCTTTCAACTCATCTCTATTAGCCTAGAACCGAGTCTGCAAAACTAGGTAATTAGGGCTAGATGAATGATCGTAGTGTTTCTTTTCGTGGATGAGACGACTGAACCCCTGCTAGAGGAATGTCTTCTTGAAACAATGCTAGAGATGATGCAAGCGTCATTAATCATTTGCTTTAGTGTGTATTATAGGTTGAACCTATTGAGAGGAACTATCGCTTACTCCTTAGTACGTGAGCTTTGATTGAGGTGACAATGGGTCTATGGGAGTGTACTATGATCCAGTAGGAGACGGAGTAATCATTGAACCTTCACTTTAGCGAGTTTCACACCTTAGCCTGCAAACACTAGTTAGCCATTTGCATGATGAACATAGATTTAGTGAGAGGGAGTTACCTTGAAGTGCCTGCTTTTTATCCTTGCTTTCTCCACCAGTATTTTCAATTGACCTCCAAAAACCCAACTAAATAGATTGACTAGATAACAACAACGTGAGAAGTAGGCTAGGGTATCAAAGCTCGTGGAATACGACCTTGGTCGCCACTATAATAGAAATGCCATTTTTACTTATACTTGGCCCGGAATATGATAGTTATTTAGGTCGTGCAAACAATTGACATGATCGGCACGAGGTTCGACCACATCAGTTTTAATAAGTTCCTGTCTATCCATGATCCTAGTTGAGTACATTTCAAATCCCAAATATTCTTACCTTTTAATCTATACCTCCTTATCCGTGCTACCCAAAATGAGCCAACTCTCATCAATAAAATCCAATATCACCTTGTTTCACATGCAACATTCCAAGTGTATAGATAATTTAACCCAATTTCACTCTCCTCTTTTAGCATTGCGACTAAATCCCACTATACTTTATCCTTTTCCAATTCCTTCCCCATAACGCATAAAATATGAGCAGATTTTTCTAGGCATGCGTGAGAACGTTCTTTGACAATATGAAAACTATCATCCAATATTAAATACTAGCATAAAGCACTAATGCAATCAACTAGATTATACCAATCACCAATGTATGAAAGTTTCTTGGCTGCCAAGATATTAGTCTGCTTGTAAGGTTGTTAACCAACACACTATGCCAAAGATCATTAGTAGAGAGCTTATCTTATGGTAAAGGAAGTCCCAGGTAACAAATAGGTAACTTGACCTCCTTAAATCCAAAGTGAGATAGTTCGATTTGCCTGTCTAATGTGGTTACTCAAAAAAAAAACACCTCACTTTTCAGCGGGTTGCATTTTAAGCCAGACAACAGATAAAACCTATCCAAACCTTGATGACACTTTCTAGTCCACAAGATGAATACCATTAGGTCATCAGCAAAGCATAGATGATTGGGTAAATACAATTTAATATCCAACCTTTCATTTTAAATAATATAATAGCCAAACCTTTTCGAAAACAATCTAATATCCAAATCGACAACTTTCCGTTCGTTTGACTGTTGGTTGACACTTCAAAAAAACTTTGTTTAGGGGAAATTGTCACAATACAACTTTGTTTTCTTGTTTTGGCATTGTAGATGACTGAATATTTAGATATTCTATACCATCATGGTGGAGTCATGTACTTCTCGGGTTTGGAACCACGATATGTTGGTGGTTTTCCAGAGAAGATATCGATGGATATTGATGAAGCGTCGTACTTCAAACTTTTTTGAAGTGTCAACTAACAGTCAAACGAACAGAAAGTTGACAATTTGGATATTAGATTGTTTTCGAAAAGGTTTGGCTATTATATTGTTTAAAATGAAAGGTTTGGATATTAAATTGTATTTACCCTAGATCAACCCTAATGGCTTGCACAGTTACACTGGAAATGATAGGGGAGTATTTTCTCTCTTGCTTCTCTATCCAACACTTGTGTCAACACAACCTTTCATATAGTAACCAAGTAGAGAAGGATCTCCGGGTCTCACTTCTTTCTTAGCCAAGAAGCATCCAAATAAGCTATTGATCATCAAGAAGGAAGAAGGATCTCCATGATATAACATTAAAACTAACTTTTGACAAACAAGTTCACTCCACAATTTTTTGTCATAGATATTACGAGAGAAATAAACACATACGAGAAAAAATACATGGTCTTTGCATGCCAAATCACAATAAAGAAAGGAAAAAGGAATTACAACTATTCATTGATAAGAGAGATTTTTTGCCACAATATGAGCAGCTCTTTAATACCTTAGCAAGATGGGAAAAATCCATTACTTTACTTCTAACCTTTGCAGAAAAAAGTCACAGTTCCTTCCACAAATTACTTAGCAAAAATATTCCAACCCCTTATTTTTAACAAATTAAATTAATTTTTGTCATTTCAGCAAACAATACTAGTGGGCTCCTTGTGGCCATGTGCCCATGGCAATGTCGGGCTATCTTAGCTCGTATTATCTCCATCCTCCTTTCGGCTCCTTGGGTAACGGTGGAGATTGTTCCCCGACGTCTCAACTAACTTGTCGATTGAGTTGCTCATAATACTAGACTTGACCTTCTTCCGAGAGATTGGATTGTGATTGCTGATCTTATTTCTCCACTATTGTAACAAAGGCTTGTTTCCTCTGGTTCGGATTGGAATAAAGATGACAGAATTTGTAAAAAAAAAAAAAATGAGTGGGCCATCCTTTATATAGGCCGGGCTTTGGCACCACATTGTAGCAGACTAGCAGCCTAACGGGCCTGCTTGCCCGACCCGCCCAATTTGTAGTCAACAAAACCAATTTTTCCAATTGCCGCAAGACAGAAACAATTTTTGCTGTTGATGTTCGTTACTTCTTTTCCTCTTCCTCGTTCGTCTTCTTCCTTTAGCTCGCTCGAATTCCCTCGATCATACCCACTGATCAACCCCATGGCGTACGAGGACGATCCGTAAGTTCTATGCAACTCCCTCTTTCTGCTTTGTTGTTCATGGCTCTTTTTTTTTTTTGTGTCGTTTATTCCATCTGTTATCTCCGTCTACGAAGAAAATTCAGTTCGGTAGGGTTTTGATTTTTAATCCATTGTTTTGACTCCTCGGTCGATGTTCATCTCAGTTACCGTGATGAGGACGGAGAGCCTTTGATGGATTACGACGATATACAATCGGACGGATATCAATCCCCTGGAGTTCCTGACGACTTTATCGACGACGACGTTTCCAGAACTCCCGTCTATGACGCGGACAAATCCTCCAAGCCGAGGAAGAGGCTGGTGAAGAAGAGCGACGGCGGTAGAGACAGTTATGCAGCTCCGCCGGAGCTAGTGGACGAGGACGAGGACGACCAAGGGTACGATGCGAAGGAATACTCGCGGGATAGGGAAGGATCGGCGGAAGGGAAGAAGAGGAGGAGATTGGGTAAGGAGGGGATAGGGAGCTCTGGCAAGGAGAGGAAGAAGTTGTTCTCCAAAGGGGAGAAGAGGTTTGGGAGTAGCTCTAAATCTGGAGGAGGGATGCCGAAGAGGGGAGCTTATTCTGGGAGGTTAGTTGCTGGAAAGGATGACGGTGAGGTCAAGGAAATGTGGGACACCATTGCTGGTGGTGATTCCGAGGTTCGTATCTTGCTTACTCCTTTTTTTATCCATCAACATGTATAGCTCACTTCTGGCTCAGAGATCGGGTGAATTTGATTTATCTTCCGTGCTTTGGGCTAAAGCTCAAAGTTGGAGACTTTGTGATTTGGAGTAAACTTATGTTGGCTTGTCAGTGGATTTTTGTTCTGCCCTTGCTGATTCCCGAGCTACTTGGAGTAAACATGCATAAGTTATTGGTGTGTTCAACTTTATGGCTTACACTTGTTGATTCCCAAACTTCGAATTTATGCCCGTGCTTCTGCGTTTAGTGGAAACTTAACTGCTTCATTGAAAGAATGGTAGTCAAGGTTATTGTTTTCGTTTTCACTCACGAGTATGTATGATCACTTGCAAGATGTTGTACAGTTGATATTTGGAGGTTATCTTTGATTTTTAAGCTTCTACTCTGAAAGTCAATTAATGCATATACAACTTTTACGTGGTGAATCTGTCTGCCGTAGCAGTAGGTTGGGGATAAGAATTTCCCTGGTGAAGAATCTGTCTGCATTAGGAGTTGGATCAGCCCTAGGTATTATGGCAGTTTCTTTGTTCTTGAAAGTCTGAGCGGATTGCTCTTATGTGTGTAGGATGATAAAGAAGGCTTGAGGACTATGGATGATGATAACTTCATTGATGATACTGGTGTAGATCCAGCCGATCGGTATGGAAGTGATAATGAACAACGGTCTCTCGGTGATGTTCCTCAGGTTATCTTCTTTTCTTAATCAGCATTGTGCTCAATATGAATAACTTGGACTATTTTAACTGACGCTCTTCATGGGCTGTCATTGTCCGTACTAATGATTGGGAAGAGTTAAACTTTGTGAAAATTGTCCCACTATTGATTCCATTTGATATATTCTACTTGATCTTGCCAGGCAGAGGAGGGTGAAGAGGATGATGAAGTAAACCAGCTTTTTAAAATGGGCAAGAAACGGAAGAAGAATGAGAGAAGCCCTGCCGAGATTGCATTGTTAGTGGAGAATGTCATGGCGGAGCTTGAAGTCACTGTTGAAGAAGATGTTAAACTAAATTTGAGGGGGAAACCTGCTATTAACAAACTAAAGAAGTTGCCTCTTCTTACTGATGTTCTCTCTAAGTAAGTTGGTTGCTGCTTTCTGTGCTTTTTCCTCTCATTAGACCTTTTGGTTTAATCATCTTTTCTTTTTTTATTGCCGGTGACACTTACGCAGGAAGCAGCTTCAGCAAGAATTCATAGATCATGGAGTTCTGACGCTGCTGAAAAATTGGCTTGAACCCCTTCCTGATGGAAGCTTGCCCAACATAAACATCCGTGCGGCAGTTCTAAGAATTCTAACTGATGTATGTGAGAGCTTTCCACTATTACATTGTGCTAGTGCCCATGTATTTGGATGATCAGTACGTGGATCCTAAATTGTGTTTTCAAGCAGCTTCCTATTGATCTGGAGCAGTATGATAGAAGGGAGCAATTAAAGAAGAGTGGGCTTGGAAAGGTTGAATATCCTCTTTATTATTTTTTAGGTGGTACAAGACAATTTCAATTGACTTGGTTAAGTATTGGCAGGTTATAATGTTTTTATCAAAATCTGATGAAGAAACCACTTCCAACAGAAAACTGGCCAAGGATCTGGTTGATAAATGGGTATGCAATACTTGGTGCTGATTCTCTACCCCTAATGTTCCTTCTGCTGGTTCTTTTATTTTGCTTATCCATGATAAGGAATAGCAACTTAAACTCTGCTGTTCCTATTGTTGGAGAATCAGAATTCACTACTTGGGTATTAATCACCTGACCTCTCTGTCTTTTGAAATGATTAAATCAGAGTCGACCAATATTCAATAAGAGCACGAGGTTTGAGGACATGAGAGGTGCTGAAGACGAACGTGCTTACAGAAGGCCACCACCAAGAAGGTAATTCTTGTCACATGCCTGTTGATTTTGTGGTTTGTTTTACAAATGGCTTGTTCAGACTGTGATTACAATTTTCATTCCTGATTTCCTGTTTTGGCAGACCAGCGAGCAATTCTGTTGGGATGGAATCTAGAGATGGTGATCTTGATTTGGACATGGCACGGTAATTTGTCGTCACTGAAATGAAATCATACGATACTCTTTGCATCCTTTTTTGCCCATGATTTACGGTTCGTTTTATAAATCTAGGGGAAGGAAGTCTGGCCAGTCATCATCGTCATCATCCAGGCAACAACAGCTCACTACCAGGCCAGAAGCAACACCATTGGATTTCTTGGTCCGTCCACAGTCCAAGATAGATCCTGAAGAAATTAGAGCACGTGCTAAACAAGCTGTACAAGATCAACGGAGAATGAAGGTTGGTTTTCTCATTGTGGTGTTCAAACGTCCATCTCAACTGGTTTTGTCTGTGTCTCTGCCGTCTAATAATCTGGACATTCTAATATGGCCTGTCAAACGAAGAGGTCTCATGTTAACTTTCGTGGAAGGATCAAGGATCTATTTTTCCATAAACCAATGTCTCATGTAAAAATGATAGCTCTATAAGATCCAATACTTTATGGTGAACTGCAGATGAATAAGAAGTTGCAGCAGCTGAAGGCTCCAAAGAAGAAGAGTTTACAAGCTTCAAAGCTCAGTGTCGAAGGCCGTGGCATGCTCAAGTACTTGTAATGTTGCTGGACTCTCTTTGTCCTCTGCCAGCCTGATCCGTATGGTGAGGGACTCGACATTCACAACGTTCAAGTCAAGCTGGTCCCTCGTTGGGAAATCTCGCGCTGGCCGTCACTCGATAGCTCGTGTGCCATTGTTGCCGCAACTGGTTGCAAGTTGATGGTCATTATCGACTGTCGGGTCGAGATGAATTCACGCTGCTTTTGCCTTCCCTTGTGCGAGAGTAATAAGAACTAACCCTGTCTCCTGATTTCTGCAATTCTTCCTGGAGGGAACAAAGTATAGGGTAAAGTAACCGAGTTGGATTATCTCCTGGGTATATTTAAGGATCAAATGCTGTTTTACGGGTGTTTTACATAGCGGGTGGTAGTGAATTGTGGTCATTCGTTCGTGTACGCTACAAACGAGTTCAATGTAATGTTAATTTGCTGCTGCAAGGACTAGACTCCTGATTGGATTGTGATCATTAAGCCATGTTTTGATTTTTGGTATAGAATTAGCGTATGAACCTAGTTGGTAATAGCTAGTTACGCATTGGGATGCCAGCTAATCCAAAGTTAATCATCTTCTACACCATCTCTTGTCAAATAAACTTTGCTTTAGTCTTAAATAAGCTGTAATACTTTAATTAGAATCGAAGTGTAATTGTCAGACTAATCCAGGCTTGATCCCATAAAGTCATGATGGTAATATAATAGCGTCTAAGATAGTCTAAGGGCCATCCGGGACCTGTCAAGTGTCCAGTTGGTTTCAGATTGACACGAAACTAGCGGCAGGCATGGCAGTCCTATCCTATCCTGTCTCCCTTGTTCACCCACTGCAGGACTGCAGCGGAAACGGATATCTTGCAAACCATGCAAATCAATCCCATATTATTAGGTTAATACCAATGTTGTCATAACCGAACCGGAGCATGACCCGATAATGTGAACAAGGGAGACATGGCGCAAGTAGGGATTGCAACAAAACCCGAACCCACATGTACCACCTGACACAACCTGGTCAACGCGGGTAAAATCCGTGTTGACGGGTTTTGGGCCAGGTTTGGGTTTAAACCCATTCACTATTCACCGAGTTGGGTTGGATTTGGGTTTAGGTAAACCCGACCCATGGGTACCCGCCCACACACATATAGTTAATTTTCTCGGTATATTTAATATTCTAAACAACTAATCTTATTTATGTTTGTGGAGACATGTCTAATTTTTTTTCTTTCAAATTGTGTAGAATGAAGTTGATGTTATCGAGTGGAGAGTGAAGAAACTTAATTGAAAGGAAGAAGCTTTCAATTAATTATGTTATTTATGGATAATTTGTGATTTGCTTCAATTTTCTTGAGTTTTCTAGATTGGTGTTGAACAATTTGCATAGTTAATTTGTGATTTGCTTGAATTTTCTAGAATTGTGTTTTATATATGGATAATTTGTATTGAGAGATTGATATTTGACTTTAATTTTGATAGGAACTTGTTATTGTAAATTTTTTACGACAAAAACCCGTGGGTACCCATGAACCCACGGATACCCAACGGGTTGGGTTGGGTTTGAGTTTTTCAAACCCAGTGGGTTTTACCCCGGTTTTTTTCACGGATAAACCCATGGGTTTGGGTTTGGCAAAACCCGACCCAACCCGACCCATTACCATCCCTAGGCGCAAGTGATAAATTTGGATCTAAATTTCTAGTAGCATAGTCATGACTTATTGAGGTCAACTATTTTTTCCATTAGTAACTCAACCGCCTCTGCTGACAAGAATCGTCCACATCATTTATGAAACTAATAAAAAAAAAAAAAAAAGAGGAGGACCACATCACATCATTTCCCCCTTCATTCCTTCCTCCCTTCCTTTATCTTCTTTCTTTCTCTTCATAGTCTCCTCCCCCAGGCCGAGAATCCCTCCGATCAAATCAAGCGTAGCTCAATGATTCTTTAGTCGGTGCCACAACCCTTGACCCTACTTCCACTGACGTCGCCTTCTTCTCTCGCCATCGCCAACCTCATTCCCTCTCATGCCTTCTATCAGATATAAAAAAACAAAGTTCTTGGTCATTGTCATTTTTTTGCTGGACTAGTTGAGCAAGGGACCACGACTACGAAGATCAACTTTCAATATGAACCAGATAACGATCTCGTTGTTGTTTTCTAGACTTTATGGATTTCGAATTTGGGAAATAGCCAAACTTAATAAATAAGTGCCCTTTTTGTTCTTTTTTGGTTTATGGATTGTGAAACATGTGGAGGAAACTAAAAAATTGTATGTTTGTATGTGTTTGTATGGTTTATTGTTCGTCAATCACGTGGAGACAATAAAACGTGTTTGTCGACCATCAAATAACCATATTTTAACCAAGTTGTGTTGGATGAGTATTGAACATGTGTTTCATCACAGGGGAATGATAGATACATCAGATGAGGTGCCAAATTATGTTAGTGGGGTCGTAGACATGTTTGATTTGGAGGTGAATGTTCTGTCATACTCTGAGATTGTGAGTACATTGATCGAAGATTTCCATTATTTGTCAATTGAGAGGGTGTGATACTTGACTCTGGGACAAAGCATATCCAATGGGTTTCACGAGATACACAATGATGTTGATGGGATTAATGGCTTATTTGGAGATGTCGAGCAAGGAGAGTTGTCGTTCTTTTTGAAGCAACCAAGTCTACTGGAGAGATGGGAGACAACTACGGGCATAGTGAGGATGCTACCGATGAGGAAGGTGGCAACTCGTTCGTAATCGAGTTCATCTGGTTAGATGATTGCGAGGCTCAAAAATTGAATGAAGAATACTATGAAATTAGGGTTCGTATTTATCGCATGAGACTGAAGTGTATGTTCGAGATGACTAGATTGGGGGAAGAGGTTGAGCAAGTGTTTTAAGATGACAATGAGCCGAATGAGTATGTTCGACCTACTATGAAGGTGGATGAAGATTTTGGGGAGGGACATCCGAGGAGGTTCAGCAAACAGGTAACATGGATGGTGATGACGTTGAACAAGTTGGTCATTCACAAAATGTATCGAAGACATACTTTTTTTTTAGCCTTGTCAAGTTGATAACTTGTCGCCATGTCAGCTCGGGACCTTGTCATGTGGCCACTAAGCCCATCCTTATGGCTTGATTTGCATACTTAATTTTATGAGCTTCACTTGGTACCTTGCCACCTGCTGGCTTGGTACCATGTCGGCTTGATCTTCGAACTTAGTTTTTTGAACCTTATCAAGTTGGTATCTTGCCACCCTAGCAGCTTGGTACCCTATGAGATGACCACCTTATGTCCCCATCTCATCAGGTTGGTACTCTTCTAGCTGTCACCAAACCTGTGTAATTAACTTGACATCTCTTTTCCATGTAAGCTTTGTACCCTGTTCCATTCCATATTTAGTTTTTTAAGAGATCTGGTAACTTGATACCTCATTTCCTTGCCATGTTGGTACCTCGTTGCCTGCTACCAAGATTGTCTTGACGATTTGGTCTCCAGACTCAGTTTTTAGAGCTCGTCAAGTTGGTACTTGATGACCTTATCTTCATACTTTTCTTTTAGAGCCTCCTCATCATACTGGTACTTTGTCGGCTTGCCACCTTGTCACCTTCGTCTCATTAGGTTGGTACCTTAAAACCTTGATCTCCATACTTAGATTTTGGAACCTCATTAAGTTGGTACCTTGTCATTGATTTGGGCCCAAATGTACACATTTTACCCCTCATTTCTTATTCGTTTAGTTTAGTATTTCATCGTTCCTCGACATATTTCACGCTAGGTTGAGCTTGTTTTGATACATTTAAGGTCCTAGCACGTGTGGAAGGGTCGAGGTCGAATTTTGGGATAATTGGAGGTCAAAAAAGCAAAAACCGAAGAAAAGTCCGAAGTAGCGACCGTGACCATTGCCTCGTAGCAGTGAAGTGAAGACATCCAGGAAACAGCCGCAGTTCACGGTCGAACTTGGATCACAAACCGTGAACATCGAGGCGTCCAGCGAGGTTCCAGAAGTTACTGACGACAAGGCAGTTCACGGTCTCTAAGACCGTGAACTGGGGCCATTGACCGTAAACCCCATAAGTGAAGCGGTGCATTTTGGATGACACTGAGTTCACGGACGCGTTTAGGTGTTCACGGCCGTGAACTGGCCAACGCGTCCGTGAATTGGTCACTTCCGGGCAAATATGAAGACAACAGCGGGGAGAGAAAAGGAAGCTTCATTTTTTAGGTTAGGTTTTCATTTTCAGAATAAAGAGGATTCTAGTGAGAGGTTAGGGTTTCTTATAGAGTGAGAAAGTGCAAATCAAAGGAGGACGAATGAGCTTTAGGCTTGTTCCTAGCTAGATGATTGAAGATTTCTTCATCTCAAGGGTGTCTCAAGCAACAAGGAGGAAAGGTTGACATCACTTCATGGTTCTTTCTTCTCTTTTTGTTGTTTTCTCTTGCTTAGCTATGGAATAGCCTACCTATTCACTTGGGTGTTGTAAACCATAGCTACAATTATGTGAATGCTTATGTGAATTGAATGATTGTTTATGGGTGTTGTTTAATTTAATGATTGAGATATTATTCATGTTGATTGTGCATGCTTGTGCTTAGCAATCTAAGGATTGTGCATGTTTTGTGCTTAGCATTCTTAGGTTTGTGCATGTTGGTGCTTAGCAATTTAATTAGCCAAGGGCCTGTTTACTTTCATTTCTTTTTCCTGTTTTTGAGAAAACAGATGAAAACAACATTTTGTCGTTTTCGAAAACATTAGGAAGTTGCCACTTTCTGTTTTCATAGTTGGAAATAGGGGTGGGCATACGGTTCGATAAAACCGAACCGAACCTAACCGAACCGAATATAAACCGAACCAAAACCGAATTAATGTTATTCGGTTCAGAATTCGGAAGATAAAAGGGCATATTTCGGAAATCAGGGTCCTTTCGACCGAACTGAAGTTCCGAATTCCGAACGGAAAAACCGAATTATTATAATTGCAAGCTTTAAATGGTGGATTTTTATGTTTCTACTTATTATGAGACTTAAATATTTGAACCATGTTAGTGTTTATGACTTATGTGTTGAAATGTTTGATTTTATCATTGATGATGCATATTTATTGTTTACATTATGGGTCAAAAATAATTTAAAAAAGAGAAGATACAAGCTAACCTCACTATTTCGGTTTTGTATGAAAAACCGAACCGAACTGAATTATAATTCAGTTTGAACCGACATAACCGAATTATAATTCGGTTCGAATTCGGTTTGAGGTTTGATAGAATTCGGGGACCCGGTATGCATAATTTCAGTTCGGTTTGAACCGAACCGACCGAATGCCCACCCCTAGTTGGAAACGAATAGAAAACGAAATGAAAAATAAACAAGTTTTCTCGTTTCGGTTGTCAAATTTATGACATGAAAACAGGAAACGAAAATGGAAGTGAACATGGCCTTAGATTAGAGAGGAAAATCCCCCTTTCAAAGGAGACTCAATCGAGTTGGTTTTCCTTTAGCTTTTTAAGTCACCTAACTAGGTTAAATTAGGGCAAACCTCAATGTTGAATTAAGCAAATTGGTTAAGCGCGATTAAGCCGTCCAACCCTTGAGTTGAGAGAGGGAGTAAGTTGCCACCGATTGCCTAAACCGAGAGGGCCGAGTGACACGACCTATAATATATTCCTCGGTTTAGCAATTGAGAGTGTGGTCTACGACCATATTTGCATCCCTCTGCGTTTCGCAGTTACCTTGCCCATAGCAATTGTTTCAATTCACATACCATGGTAGTAGTTAGGGGGAAGCAACACCCAAGTGAGGTCCTCTCATATAGAATTCCCCTCAATTTACTTTACTTGCTTGTTTTCATTTGTAGTTCTCATAGTTTTAAACCCAAAAAAAACCGTTTTGCTAGATAACAACTTAAGTGATTGAAGTAGGGGTACATGGACCGACCCTGGTTGACAATTTAAATACTTGCTCTATACTGCACCCGACTAGAGTTTAAAAACTTGGACTCTATTCGGGATTAATTCGTGGTGTAATTTCGTGTGAGTCAATCATCCCGTCGACTTGGGACTTTGTCACCTCCATCTCATTAGGTTGGTACCTTGACGACTTGATCTTCATACTTAGCTTTTGGAACCTCATTAAGCTGGTACCTTGTCGGCTTGCTGTCCCACCATAAGAATTCTAAACTTAAGTTCATTCATAGCCAAATTTCATATCAACTAACTTGTTACAAGTCCATCTTGACTCCTAGCCTGTTGAAAACTGTATGGCCACCTAGGCTAGGGATGGGTCGTCTGCCTGGATAAAGTCCAACCAGCTTAGCTTAGTGTTTAATGTTGAATTGACCTTATAAGTAAATTAGATCCCTTGTAATTAATAGATGTGATATGAGATGAATTTTCAGTGGTAAGCGTTGAGTGTGGGCTATTGAAGTCGCAGACGGTAGAAATGACCACTGAACTTACTATGCAAGCTCGTTAGATGGTGATTCAGTTGAGTTGGTTTAATCAAGTCTCAAAGTAAGCATTATATTGAACGTTGCAGTCTAACACAGACCGACTAACAACATTTTTCCCCACCCAATTCTAAATTTAGAAAGTTAGCCTACAAGTTGAGATACATCCGATAGATAAAAGAACTGATTAGAGCTGACACGAGCTAGCTAGTAAAGAGACCTTGGAGTTCATTAGGCTCAATAATAGCTTCACCATGAAATAGCAAAGTAAGACACAACTAACTCAACCAAAGGTAAGATAGCCTAACGGTAAAGCTGCCGTGAAAGTTTGGGAGTTGCAGATCCCAGGTTCGAATCCAAGCGAGACCCGTTGGTGTTCCCGAAGGTACAAGGTTGCTGGTGGTGACGGCGAGAACGGAGTCATCCTTGTCGGCTTGCTGTCCCAAATTTAGTAATACCCGGAACCCGGAATCATCCTCCACAACTCGAATTCGAACCTGGAATCTGCAACTCTAAAACCTTCACTGTCGCAGCAGCTTTACCAAAACCAAACCCAAATCATCCTCCACAAAACCAAAACCAAAACCAACTCCGAGACTTCAAATCCACCAATAACCTCTCCTCGTACTGGGTCCAAAAAAATCACACAAACACAGGCCCAAGTAAAGAAAAGCCATCGTCTGTCACCCGCAGGTAACACTAGCAAACCCTACCCACAAGTCATCGGGGTATTTATTTCCACTCAATTTTTAGGCCTTTCCTTGCTTTCTGCCCAAGCAAATATCAAATTAAAATACTGAGGGGAAGAGAGAGAGAGAGGAAGAGAGAGAGAGAAGAGAGCAGAGCAGTGTGTATCCATTCACAGGGAAGAGTCCGCCGACTTCAATTTCCGCCACCGTCAACGGAGTCGGAAACTTCCTTTTTATCCATCTTTATTCCACCGCCCCCTTTCTTAGAACCGGAGAGAACGGTGCCGTATCATCCCCCTTTTCACTATCCGATTCATACTGTTCCGTCTCCTCCTCCTCCTCCTCCACCTCTCCTTCTCTCTCCGCCTTTCTAGTATTAGGGTTTTTAGCGCCTAATCGGAACGTCGGCGGAGCAGAATAGCACTCGTCGTCCGTCCAAATCGCTCTTCATCATCCCCTCTTATGATGTATCATCGACGGTAAGCGGGCTGCTGGTCGTTGAATTTTTTTTCCCTTTATCTTCCTCTGATGTTATTCAACGTGGTTGCTGATTCTAGTGGCTGTAAGTCGTAGATCGGGTTCGGTTTCGAGGAATTTGCCCTTTGATTGAGGTGTGTGGAGTCCGAATTGGATTTCCGGTTCTCGTTTTCAAGAGTTTTTGTGTTTTTTTTTCTTGTTCTTTATTTTCGTTTGGTTTGACTTTGGCTTTCAATTCTGAAGTCTCCATGTACTGATATTTTCTTTTAGCGCCAAATTGGACTTTTTGGTTCGTAGAGTTGAGATCTGGTGTTTTCTCTGGATAACGGAAATTTGCAACTATTTCTTCCGTTGGACTGTGGTTGATTCTGCCTTTGTGATTGGGACTCCTTTCTTTCTGATCATGGTTTGATGATGGTTGTTGCGCTTGCAGGTGTGCAGAGCTAACTCTGGGCTTGTGAGATAAATAAGGGAGCTTGCTTGCTTCCAGAGATAGTGTTGAGTGTTTATATAGGAGAGGAGGAACATGTATATGATCATCGTTAGTTGCAGTGTTAGGTAATTCTCTGCTATGTATATCATTTTTCTTTGTGCTGTTCTTGTGAAGTATTTTATTTCCAATTCATTGTTGTCTTTTGATGCGAATATGTTTCTAATAATCAGGTGGGTACTGATTTTGAGTTTCTAATTGGCAGCGCGGGCTTTTAGCTGTCAAGTTATTGTCTTGGTTTAGAGTTATCCTTGTTGTTCTCTGTTTCTGTTTCTGATGCATAGCATACTGTTTTCTGTAGCTAGTAATAACGTGTAGAACTTAGTTGGCTTGTATATTCTCTTCCTGGTATTGCAGCTGCTAGTATCAAAAAGTTCTCTTTCTGGTTATATCATAACCAGAAAGCTTGATGCGTTTTAGTTAGTGTTTATTTCTCTCAGTTGTATTTTTCTCTGTGCACTGCGCCAAAAGCTTTTTTTTTTTTTTTTAAGTAGCAGTATTGTGGTTTGCTTTATGTTGTTTGTTAGTGGTGGTAAAGGTTTCTTAAAGAGTATGTTTAGTAAACACTGCATCCTTGGTTGGTTTATCTTTCTCCTTCGTGCATGGTTCATATGTTGTGGATCAATGTGACCTGACGCTGCCCTTTGACAATAAGTTACATATCTGTACCTCTGCTTACATTTATTTCGTCAAACACTGCACAGGCTTACCCAAATGGCTCTGATTGCATCCTGACTTTCAAACTGGTGGTTGGAGGACAGAGTTGGTGCGTTACTGTAAATCCAAACCTTTGTTCTTCAGAGTTTTATTAGTGATAGATCTAGTAGCTAGACATGGAAACCAAGTTCGGAAAGGTGTTGGATAGAAGAAGCAAGGTTATGCTCGGCTTAAAGAGAAAGCGTGCATCCCGCTGTGCGGCTAATTTTGCCAGAGCTTCGCAAACAGTGTTGGCTGACTGTCCTGCTTTGGATTGTTCTACTCCTATGCTGGGAAAACGAAGGAGAGTTAATGATCGCTTGGGCAAGCCTACAAGCTGTGGCTTTCCTTGCAAGAAATCCATTCTCCAGCGATATTCCAATTTTTCGAGGACTGGAGTGCCGGCACGTCTCATGTTTTATCAGAATGGAGAATGGACCGACTTTGCAGAAGATCTTGTCACCTTGGTAAGAAAGGATCTTCAAATAAAGAAGGCTGTACTTGAAGTTGAGGTGGAAGGGCGCCATTATATGCTAGATTTCTTGCATATGTTTCAACTTGACTTGAAGACAGGCTCTCAAATACCAATTGCTTGGATCGATGAAGCAGGTGCCTGCTTCTTTCCAGAAATTTATGCTGATGATGACGAATTAAGTAGTGAGGATTATGGAAAAAATCAGTATGGGCCTCATGAAATTAAGCTGCAACTGGAAATTGACATAAACAGCGTGGACCAGCAGACTAAGTTGAAGGAGTGTAGCGGGGAGTCGGATGCTCTTCTCAAGCATATCCAAGTTGTTCCCAAACCTGGCAGCGATCATTACATTGTTGAAGTTGAAGATAGCTGCAACCGGAAGTCTGTTGAAGCTTTCCAAGGAAACCAACATATTAAACCACTATCTGTCCCTAAGCCTCAATCTTTTGATGTAAAATTTGATTCAGACTCTGTGCAGAATTTTTTTATCAGAGGCATGAAATGTCCTCAAGGTGCTGAGGTGCTTAATGTTTTACCGTGTTCGAGCAATTTGTTACAAGATCGGTTAGAAATTTTTGAGAAACAGATGGAGCTGACCCAGAAGTGCCGTGGTGATGCAAATGTTCGATATGCTTGGCTTGCTTCTTCCAAAGCAGCATTGCCTATGCTTATGACTTACGGACTGGGACATTGTCGGCCTTCTGCCACAAAATTCAGATATGCTGTTGGCATTCATCTATCTGCTGCAGATCATTGTCACATCAGGTTTGAAAATTTTATTAGATTTTGAGATGTGCAAGCTATCTGTATATGTGCTTACTGTTTCTCTTGAGGACTATGAGCCTGCAACTAATGATGAGCTTAAAACACTGATGAATCAAGTAATGATATTAGAAATAGTAGTAGCAGGACTATTGATGGCTTGGTAATTTGTTCAGTGGTGGGTTGTGGACTTTTAACTCTTCCTGTTCCTTGTTAGGCCATTGAAGTACCCTTTTTAGTGGTGTTTGTGGAGCATACCCAGTTAGATATCTTAGTTGTTATGGCTTTTGTTTGAACTGTGTTTTCGTTATGACTTATGAATTGGTTGCTTGAAGTACGTAGTTATTTCTTGGATAAAAAAGTGTGTAGTTAGTTTTGTTGTGTTTGATGTGGATCTTTCTACGCACTTCTCATTGGCATGATTTTGTGATTGTCAGTGTTGTCGTTTTGCTACTTAGGATTGAACTTTTTTATTTACCAACAGTGCCAGTGATTGTGATGTTGACGAAAATGGCACTCGACATATCGTATTTTGTCGCGTGATAATGGGAAATATGGAGCCTCTTCAGCCAGGGACTCGGCAGTTCCATCCCAGTAGTGAGGTCTTTGATAATGGAGTGGACGATCTTCAAAATCCAAGACAGTATGTAGTTTGGAATATGAATGTGAACACCCACATTTTCCCGCAATATGTTGTTAGTTTCAAGGTCTCTTCCAGTGGTGAAGGTGATTAGCTATTTCCTTTCCCCCCCCCCCTTATTTACACTTGTCTCTGTATGTTCTTTCTCGCGTGTTGTGGGACCAGCTGCTTTTGTACTCTTGAAGTCTCATTAATTCTTTGCTGATCCATCATTGGTCATTGTGGGTCGTTCTTGGCCTATGAGCTGAGATGGTTGCAAGTGACTCATCAAAGACTTCTGTGCACTCGTCTGGAATGCCAAGAACTTGGTGTCCATGGTATAGAAGGCAGATTCTGTTGCATGATGCGTGGACAACTCTTGGTTGTGGTTTATTGCAGCCGAGATCAAAATCTTCCTCAACCACATTGTTTCGAGAACCTATCTGGCCGGTGTCTTCTACAGATGCTCAGATAACAAAAACATTTCCCTTTGATAATCTTTTTGTACTTGAAAGTTAGCATTTTTTGTGTATCTTCTATAGGTCTTGCGAATGGGAGCGAGAGCAAGTATGCTGCCTCTGGTATCACCACTGCTACAAATGCAGTTGAGGGGAATTTCCTGATGAGTTCTCATCATGTGGATCTGAATTTACCTGTACAGTCCCCCGTGGTGGATCTTAATTTGGCCCCTGCATCTGATCAGGTAAGCACAGGTTCATAATTGGTTTGGTGATGTAGTGACTAGTGACTGTCTCTGGAATGATGGTAACAAATGTTTTTCATATGAGAGTGATCTCTGTTGATTGTTTGGCTAGTATGTCGGATATGAATGAGTTACCTACTACTGAGATACATCCTTTGTCCTCTGTTGTCACAGGTCAGTGAAAGTAGACCGCTTTCTGACTCTGGGGCATCTATTGGACAAGCAAATAGTCTGGGTTCAAGCAATGGAAGGAATCATAGTTCTCCTTGGATGCCTTTCCCTAAGCTTTTTGCTGCTGTCTCTACTAAAATTGCTAGGAGGGACATGGAACTGGTTATTAATCATTATGAGGAATTCCGGGTAGGTCATTATCTTCTCTGCATTTTGCTTTCTTTTGTTCCTCTGGTTTGCCCTTCACTAAATCTGCTGTCAAATATTCATTTCTGGCTGTGTCGTCAGGCAAAAAGGACGAGCAGGGAAGACTTTGTTAGACAGTTGAGACTAATTGTTGGGGACACTTTGCTGAAGACCACAATAATGAACCTGAACCGAAACCAGGTATGACTTGGTATGGTTTGTACTCTCTAGTCTCTATCTTTTGTTGTCTGGGGATAAGTAGAAATTTTACTGGCATTTTTAAATTTGAGTCGAGATGGTAAAAAATTGTTTATGATCTTGTAGCTCTTCTGGTTTGTCATTTTTGTAATTGAGAGCTTATATGGGAATGTGGTGCCCTTAGGGGACCCCTATGCTAGGAGAACCTGCATGATTGAGAAAAAAATGATCCATCGGAAGATGCAAGTAATTTCAGAAGTAGGAATCCCTGACGTACGCAATTTCATGCTTTCGTTTTTTTTTTGTCCGGGTTGTGACATGAAGCTCGATTTGTTCCCTTCGTTGGCATGTTGCAATGGTCTGGGAGGTATTGGGGCCAAGAACTGTGATTTTATCGGGATGAACCATGGTTAAGCTTATTGATTATGAGTTCAGTTTTGCCAATTTGGTGGTACTGGATGAGATGTGGATTGGCAGTCATCGTTGTGCTTTTGTTCATGTCGACCATGCAAAGTTTTCGTAGTAAAACCATTGGCTGGTGAATCTTGCAGGTGGTATCCAAGCCAGAGGTTCGAAGCAACTAGGTGAAAGTAGCAGAAGCCAGAAGTGGCTTTTGGTGGTGGCATCAACAAGCTTAAGCTCTCTCTCTATATGTTATCTCTTCCGCTGTATGGTTGGTAGTATTTCTCCTGTTTGATATAAGTTTGAAGTTCAAATACTTGGTCGGAATGGTCTCTGGTAGTCTTGGAATGTGTCGACCTTATCGTGGTACTGTCTTCATTTTTGTTCTGAAACAAGTTGGTAGTTTGGGATGTTTGTTATTAGTCCTGGTAGTCTTTGCCTGATTATTACTGTTGTTACTGTTCATTGTCGATGAAAACTCGAGAAATGATGGCACCCAGGTGGGCATCGGGGCACTAGGTTCTTGCAATCGCTCGCAAATCCTTCTGTGGTGAGACGAATTTATCTATTTTGCTGCAGTAGCAAATCAACGGTTTAGACTCTATAGACTTGAAGAAATCAGAAAGGTCCTTACATCAGATTTTGCTGACCCACGAGGGCCAGCCGACGATCAATTTTACGAGCTAACGATGGTCTACAATGGTACTTCGGTCTTATTGGAGGCCTCATGTATGGTCACAAAACTATTAAGCTACTTTCTAATGTGATGATTGCTGGACGAATGAACGCAAAAGAACAATGATGGGACAGCTTACTCCCATCGGGATAAATATGACCCCTTAATCAGCCCAGGCCGGTTTACTCTGGTTTCTTTGCTGGTCATTTTATCTGGCTCATGTTGTAAGGGTCAAGAAAAGTATGTTTCTTGAGCTTTATCCATTGATTGTGTCCGAAATCCAGACACTGAACGCTGGATGAAGATGCAGCGCAGTTATCAATCCTGGCAGCTCCATGCTTTCCCTCTACCACCTGACTTCCACCTTTCTAGCTCGGGTTGGTAAGTTTCAACTGCAAGGAGCATACACATATTTGATTGTGTAGCTTGACTAGCACATTTTTTTTTCTCCGGATTGTTCTACATGAAGGTTCGGAGTAGAAGTCAAAACACACATGCTTACATGAATCAACTGTTTGCTTAGAAACAGATTCCAGCAGCTCCTGAGTATCAACTGGAGTGTACCTGAAACCAGTATTTCGTAAAATGTCAGGCACTTGAATCATGCATTATTAGAAACACCAAGGTAGCAACTACCTTCTCATTTTGTATGGATTGGATCTGGCCCAATAACTTTGGACGAAAGTTTAAACAGCCCAGCAACAGAGTTCCGGGAAGCAGCCCATTGGACAGCTTATCAGCCTCGTATGCACTGGGCCAGCTAAATCGGTTTCCCCTATTTGACATTTCTTGGCCCCAAGAAGAGGGGAGTGCAGACGTTCAAATAACATGTATGCTTTGCTTTTCTTCCAAGGACATTTTCCCATCTAGGGTTCAATCCGAGTTTGTTTATGTATCGTCTATTCTTCCTAGCGACTTTCGTTTTGGCCTTAACCAACTAGTGAAGAATTGATATGAAACATATTTGTTTTTACGTTCGTTCTATCTATTTAACAATTCCCATATCAGGAACTTTCCGGAAGTCGATGGACCACGACACTAAATGCTGTAACAACAAAGGAGGGGATGCATTTGCTTGCTTGCTATGAAATGAATTGATGTTGGGTGGTGGTGGTGGTGCAGTTACTTTCCTGTACTGAACTGTCGTCAGTGAACAGAACATTGCAACAAGGAGAAGAAAGGAAAGGGAAAGGAGATGAGATGAGATGAGATGAGATGAAGAAGAAGATAAGAGTGAATGCGAACTTATTTTTCACACACTCCCAATTCTCTCCTTTTTGTCTGATAGCAGATAGAGAGAAGTAAATATGTTTGCCTCTTTCTTCTGTCACGTCCTTCTCAAAAAGCTAGTCATTATGAATGTATCATTTCTAGGTTTTCTACCTTCTTTCTTCATCTCTCTCCCCTTTATTCAGTCATTCATTCCCACATTTCTACCTTCTTTCTAGTAGTGGGTTTTACTAAAGTTGCCAACTTTGATTACCAAAAGCACATCTTTTTGGGTTTTTTTCTTTCTCTTATTTGTAGTATAATAACAAATTAAAGCACTATAACTAGCTTTGAGACATGCAACATTGTCCATATGCATGGCTTCATTATTCATTGAGGAAAATGTACCACTTGAACACACACACACAAAATAAGATGGGTGAAATGCCATGAATGGAGTGGTAGCAAAAGTAAAAAGAACTCCCTATAAATATGAGCAAAAGAAGTTTGCTGACAAGCTCACTTTACCAGCAAGCTTCCTTTAATGGAGTTTGGGAAACTTTGGAAAGGAACCTCCCCCCTTACACATCCTTTGTTTTGGGGGGTTTAAGTTGTAGTAATTTTCACCCATCCTTTTACTTCTGTTTTAGGGGAGGGCAATTAGCCCCAAAACTGTTCCCCGCAAAGATGGTGGAATGAATACATTCCTCGTGTTCCAAATGGGGTTCTTTCTGATTATGAGATTTGATAAAAGTGACAAATTGGAGAGTAATCCGCAAATGGGCTTTTTGGCCACACAAGGCGTACATCGTCATGATTCTCAATTAGCCTGTACAACTGGACACTAATCTACTGTTCACAATGGTAGAGAAACAAAATTAAGAAGAAAACTAACGAATAGCAAGACGATACGTGACACAGTACGATAAATCATGCAACGAGATTTGGTTAACCTAGCTATCTACAATACAAACACATGCACAAGCTTTAATTATGTGAGCTAGAAAACTCTAGGCAAAATCCACTTTCATAGCCATAATTTTGCACTTTGTGACAAATATAGCCAAATTTGAAAAAATACACAGAAATAGCCACAAATTTGAAACTACCTTGACAATTATAGCCATTTCCGTTAAATTTATTGACGGAGTTAGAGATGCCGTTGGCGTCCGTCAACAACAAGCTGAGATGGCGCCTAGTCAGCTTTTACGTCAACTCTAAGTCGACGTGTCATGCCACATGTCATGCCATGTCAGCTTAAAAATTAAAAATATTATTTATTATAAAAAATATAATAAATAAATATTCTAATTGACCATCGTCTCTAAACCTCCTTCTCCATTTGACGATAAACCGAAAATAAAATCAAAAGCTCACGCTCCCCAGATTCATCTACCTTCCTTTCTTCTTCTTCTTCTTCTCCCTACATCTCCGATCAAGCAACAAAGACCCATCTCATCTCTTTAAACCCCTTCCCCAGCCGTACGTCGTCGCCATCGACCATATTCGCCCCTGTTGAAATCCACAAAACCCACAAACTTGCAGCCACTAGATTCACCGACGACCTAGTGCCGGCAAATCCAGGCGCACTAGGGATTCCGTCGTTTTGCTCTGGTTCAGCCCTCGCGTCGACCCTCCATCCACCGTCGGCGACGTTGCCTCGAGTACCGTTAGATCCAGGCGCACAAGAGCATCTCCAGCGTCAATCGTTGTCGATCTAAAATCCTGACTTGTCTCGTGGCCGCGCAATCATGCCGCTGAGGGAGAGCAACAGTCTCCATCGCAGATCGAGAAACTAAAACCTAATCGACGCTATCTCCTTGCAGATTTCCTCCCTGAAAAACCACCAGATCTGGGCGGTTTTCAAATATGCCGCCGCCGGAAATCGACAATGAGCAGAGGGTACAAGCGAATCGCCGTCGATGTTGCGGCAAATCCTCCCTCCGTCAGTCGCTGCTACGTCTGAATCCCTGTGTATTGTCGGACCGCGGAGGCGAGCTGGACCGTATCGAGTGGTGAATGGACCAAGGCTGATGAGTGCGTTCGTCGATTGAGAGTCGCCGACGATTTTAAGTTTAGGTGGAATGAAGGTGACAAGGAAGAAGAATGAAGGTGGGATTTCTGTAAAGAGGAAAAGAGAAGAATTGGGAAGGGCGGATGAGGAAAAGAATGGTAAAGTAGGGGTTTTTTTTAATAAATATAATTAATTTAGTTTTCCACCATGGCATGCCACATAGACCAAATAAAATGCAGCCACATTCAACCGTTTGCCCAGTCAGCCGTCTTTAAAATTCCGTTACATTAATGGACGGAATGGCTATTTCTGTGTATTTTTTCAAATTTGGCTATATTTGTCACAAAGTGCAAAGTTATGGCTATGGAAGTGGATTTTGCCAAAACTCTATTACGTGCCTCACCATTGAAAACAGGAATTCCAGAGAGAGAGAGAGAGAGAGAGAGGTAGCCCTATAGAGAGAGAAGTGAAAGGACAAAGCTGCTATGAATTGAATGCTATTGCTGACACTCTTCTAGGGCCAAGGCCTACTGCTGTTTATACTGTCAGCGAGGCGTCAATCATAAAGCAATCGATTGCAAAATCATTTCCCCCGCTCTCTCTCTCTCTCTCTCTCTCTCTTTCTTCCTTTTCATTTAAATAAAATAAATAATAATGGAATTTTCTTATTCAAATTGTCATTTGTGTGTCTTCTTCTGACAGTACTGACCTTTCGTCTCTTTGACCGTATCCCACAAAACCCGCTCCCCCATTGCATTGACATGTCAACCTCTTCCCTGCCACGTGTGCTCAGTATTTTCCCTAGGGGTGGCTATACGGTCCGGTCCGGTCCGGTTAAATTGGCCCAAATTGATCCGGTCCAGTCTGGTTTTTTTGGAAATATAAGGACCGAAAATTGGATTGGATACAGTCCGGTCTTGATCCGGTCCAGTCCCAATTCGGTCTTGATTTTATATTGAGATTGTGGGAATTTGAGTGGCCTAAGGCCTAAAAGGGTGAGGAGTTGGTTAAGTTTTGTACTAAGTGCAAAGGTTTGTGACCGTTTATGCAAATTACCCTTAAGTTTTGGGTGTTGAGCTCTCTTATCCGGTCTTTATCCGATTTTTTACCTCAAATCTAAGCCCAAAGATTGGATTGGATTGTTTACTATCCGGTCCCGGTCGGTCTCGGTCCGGGTTATACGGTCCGGTTTCCGGTTTTTCATCCGATCCCGGTCCAAATAGCCAGCCCTAATTTTCCCCCATATTTCTTGATATTATATTATAAGAAATAAAGAATAAAAGTATTTTATGCATATTTTTTCTTCAATTTATTTTATTTTTTCCATTGGGAGACCATGCATTTGTGATACATGCTGTTTGTTTGTTTGTTGGTCCTCTCCTAGGCCCTAGCTAGGCTGCCTTGTCAATTGTCATTTATTATAGTTTTTGTCTTATAAATAAATAAATAAATAATATGGGCCGGGTTTTTGTGCAGAGAAAAAAGAATGATGGGATCATCCTATTTGGATCCCGCGGGAATCCCGCCTTACTCTATGCGTTCCTTCTTTTACCACAAACATATATATATATATATATATGTCTTTCACTCTCTCTCTCTCGTGCTGTGAAATTCTTTAGCCAGTTGTAATTTTTCTTGTCAAAGTTTGAAAAAAGTTAATTTAATGAGATAGTGAGGTATTTTTCCATTGATAGAGAGATATTTAATGCGCTAATAAATGGTGTATTTAATAGTAAAGTAGCAAGGGGTCATTTTTAGATGAATGACTGTTATGAGTGTAATTTTAGGGTTCAATAATTTTTTTCGAAGGAAAAATGTCAGTAAATGAGTTTTTGCACTTTAGATTGAGATGGTTTGTGAAATTTTCTAGTGGAATTGTAGTGGAAATTTGATATTGACCAGGTAAATAGACAGATGAGAGGCCATTTTATGCCTCATCCCACAAGTTTTAATTTCTTTCCTACTGACAGTAACCTACTTTAGGGAACCTAGCTGCCATAACTGTTTTCATCAAGAGCAAAATTTAATTCAATAGGAACATTGTTCAATCTGAACTACATAACAAATTTCTATACAAGCCGTTTAAGCCCTAGAGTATCATTGGGTATTAGAAAACATAATTAACTCTTACACTATGTTCATGAAGGAAGGGAGGAAAAGGAGGGGAGGTGAAGGAAAATTAGAAGGGGAGGGGAGATTTGGAGGTGAAGGAAATTGGAAGGAAAATGTTGTTTTATGGAGGAAAGTGGGAAGGAAAGTGTGTATTGGGAAGTGTGATAAATATGTTATTTTATTGGTTATGTAATAGTAAATAGATATTTTATTTATTTAAAAACCGTGATTTAACCACAATTAATTAAAAATAGACTTTATAATAATTGATCAAGCATTCTAAATACCCTACTTTCTCGGCATAGCCTCTGGCACAGTTTCGTAATCCTTGATATTACACTCAAATCTATCAACACCCAATTAATAAAGAAACCTACTTAAGTATTAATTTAATTAATTTGAACAATGGAGACCATAAAAAAGCCTACTTAATCTAAACTTAGGTAGCGAAGCGAGAGCGTCTAGCGTTTATTTTTCAAAAACTCAATATTAAGAGCGTGAACAGAGCGTTAATATTATATTATTTTAATATATAAATAATAAATATATTATTTTTATTATAAATAATGTTAATACCAAACGCTTCTACGTAGAATCGTGCTTTTGACCACATTAAATTGTCATTATCTTAGTTATGAGGATTAATACCGATTATTAGAAAAAATAGATAACAAATTTTACTTATTCTTATCCTTATCTATAACCCACGACCA